AAAATCGATACAGGGCTTTAGAATATCGATACAGTATCGGGAAATGAAATATCGCGATATTTCAGTGTATCGATATTTTCTTACACCCCTATTTGAAACTGAAAAATAATTTTGAAACTGAAAAAATAATTTTGAGACTGAAAAACAATATATTAGAATCTGGAAACGTTTCAAACATCTTGTCTTTTCAGTTTCAACTATTTTTTTCAGTTTCCAATTATTCATTCTTCAGTCCCCCACACTAAATCAGGGTCATYAGTTTGAAACTGAAAATAAGAAATATTTGAAACTGAAAAGACAAGATGTTTGAAACTTTTCCAGATTCTAATATATTGTTTTTCAGTTCCAAAATTATTTTTTTCAGTTTTAAATCTCCTTTTTTCTGTTTCAAATTATTTTATTTTGAACACAACTTGTGACCCCAGTTTAGCTCCACAGTTAACATTCTGTTTCAGTTTATTGGATTGCATTTATTGGTTTACCTGTTTGATTTACCTGTAGACTTTTCTTCCTGTGTATTCACCAGGTGATCCGTCGAGGCAACGGTGAGATCATACCATGGCGTACGCCTACAGAGGAGGTCAATGCCAGGAACTACCTGCCCTGCCCTCTCTGCCTCGGCTTCTTTCTCCGGAGTGATCTATGGAAACATCAGGCGTCTTGTCGTAAGAAATTTGCCACTGACCTCCCACAAGATCCCTCTTTGAAGGCAGAGTTCACCTTCAAAAACCCCACTTTCTTGGCAGAACTCCTTTCTAAAGACTATGCCTCCATCGCAGAGATCTCCTCTTATCTGGAGACCTCAGACTCCGCAGGTAAATCCTCCTGCAGTCACACACCTGCAGATCCTTCCAAACAAACGTCAGACCAGAGCTCTGAACCTGGAACCAAGCGGACCCTGACCTCTGGCCCTGGTGTGGATCAGAATAACTATGACTCAGTACTGAAACTGCCCAGGAAGAGGGCTAAAGTCCAGGCTGCAGCATCCCGCCTGCTGCCGACGTCTGGTGGAGCGTCAGAGAGCTGCAGTGACCTCCTGCACCGGATGAACCAGGACAATGTGTCCTATGAGGTTTGTACCAGGGCTGACAGGACTCCAGCACCTTCATAAATTCTCCTTTTTTAAACATAAAAACCTTCGTAATGTTTACGTTGATGCTCCGTGGGGTTTCTTCACAGGCTCACAARAGCAGGAGTGACGTTACCTTAAAGGGATCCATGATTAGTTGTAACATTAGACATTATTTCATAAACATTTATTTTAACTGAAAAGTAAAGTCTGTAAAACTACTGTAGGCTGTTTAATTTTTATCATTTTTTAACAAAAATTTTAAAAATATATTACACGGACGGAACCATTTTATTTACACGCAAAGCATTCTGGGTAAATGATGACGTAGGGCTGCATGGTATATGTGGTAGACAGTTGATTAAGATTAGTTTTCTGCAAAAAAGGCTCTAAAAATTACATTATCTTTACTTTTTATGATAATTTTCTATAGCGATATATACCATTACCATGAAGGGATTAAGCTGATAACGTTAAATGAGTTTGAGGTCATACCGCCCAGCCCTATGATGACGTGGATAGGTCCTCGGTGCGAGGCTGCTAGCGAGCTATATCCACCCTGAAGGTTAATCTTGGAC